TAATGTTGTACAGTAAATGAAAGATTGTGTACTTGATTTACAATGCTAGAAAAGGTCAAATATTCTTGATTCCAGTTACATTAACTTTTTTCTTTCACTTTAAAGTATTAATGTTTAATTTTTATACAAAAATGTGTAGCTTTTATATATTCAGTTGAATTGGTTTTGACAATTTTACATACTCAGTACCACTACCAAAAATAAAATGTAATATATTTCCATCAACCCAAAAAGATCTTTCATGTACTGTCTGATCAATCTTCCAAAGGAAACTATTTCTGATTTCTATTACTGTAAATTAGCGTTTCCTGTTCTTAGACTTGTATGTATAGTTTCCATCTTAACTCTGTCACTCAATGTATTGACTTTAACACTCATGCATGTATCATTCCTTTTTTTTGAAGAGTAGTGTTTCATTGTATGAATGGACTATCCCATTCTTTGTTTATATCTTCTGTTGATGGACATTTCAATTGTTTTAAATATTCTTGAATATTCTTTTTGCAGGGATGTTTTAATTTCCTTTGAGTAAATTCTTCAGGTAGATTTCTATGGATAATAGTTCTTGTATAATATGTATGTCCAACTATGTAATTGTCACACAATTCTCTAAAATGGTGGCACTATTTTATACTTCTACCAGAAATGGATGAAAATTCTGATTGCTTCACTCCCTTGCAACATTTGGTGCTGTGTCTTTTTCTAAATGTAGCTCTTTTAGGGTGGGAAATTATATTTGATTGCAGGTTTAATTGCTTTGTTGCACTCTTATAACTAAATATGCCAGACATCTTTTGGTTTTTACACTAACCATTTGTAAAAACCTTTGTGATGTCAGGGTTTTTGACAATGTATTGAGTGGGTTGTTTTATTATTAATATTTAGGAATTTACTTTATATTTTGGATGGGGAAATTTGTTCAAATAGTAAAATTCCTATTATTCTTCCCCATGTGGCTTTAATTGCAGGCTTCAAAAATTTCTCATACTTATTTGCTGCAGTTCCACTTGTTAATGAGACATTTTTTCAGGAACAGATTTTGTGCTTTTGTCCCAAATCAGTGTGGGGAGATTTCTGGACTCACTAATTTGTTACAATGTTCTACTTTTCTGTTTTCACATCTGTATCACACAGCTTTGAGTACTGTAAATTGTATTAAAATCAAATAATGTGAACCACATTGTTATTTCTTTTTTTTTTTAAGTGAGCTTTTTAGGCCCCTTGTGTTCTCAGTTTTTAGCATGAGCTGAGACTGATTGGTATTACACTGAAGATACAAATAAATTTGTGGAGAATTAACTTTGAAACAATGTTGAATTGTCCAATTCTTGAACTATGAGGTAGTTCTCCACCTATTTAGATTCTTCAATTTTTTTTCTTTGCCAATAACTTATTTTCATTCCAGAGGACTTGCAGAAATTTTGTTCAATTTATTCTTTGCTTTTAATGTTTTTTTGATAAGTGGACACTTAAAAACATTGATATTCCCATTGCTCATTATTAGTATAGAGAACTATGATAAATTTACATAAATTAAATTTACCTTTTATTATATGAATATTTGGCTAAATTTGGTAATTAGCAGTTTTTTAAAGTTTTTGAGAGTTTATATGTCTAAAAGAAAGTTATATAACATCATCTTATATTTTCCTGTTAATCATTTTGCTACTTTTTTTTTTTTGCTTGTCTTATTGCACTGGCCAGGATTTCCAACATGATAATGAGCAGAAGTTGTGAGAGAAAACATTTTGCTTGTTCTTCATATTAGGGAAAACAGTGTTTCATCATTACTAGAGATGTTACCTATATTTTAGAGATGACTTTCCATTACTACTTCACAGAAATCTCAGTGTAAACCAATGTTAAATTTTTAGAAATAAACCTTTTATCTATTTAGACATATATGCATACATTGTGATCTTTATTTATTTTGTTGTTAATATGGCAAACTATATTTCTAGATTTGTGAATGTAAGCCAGTCTTGAATTCTTGGAATAACCTCTATATAGTCATGATTTATTTGCCTTTTACACAGTGCTATTATCTGGTTCACTACTTTTACTTTTATGTCTATGAAAAAGATTTATCTGAATTATTTTTCTTTTCTTTTGGCAGTACTGGATTTGAACTGAGGGCACCACACTTGCTAGGCAGGTACTCTACTGCTTGAGAGTAGGCCTCCAGCTAAAATTTTGTTTTTGTTGAAGTATTATTGTAATATTTACTATTAGGGCTATTATGGCGTCATAAACTTCACCTTATCTTATCTTGTGATTTTCAAGAGTTTGTCAAGATTTATGTCGTTCTTAAAAGTTTGATGGAATTTACTAGTGAAGCCTTGTGGACCTAGAGGTTTCTTTGATGGAAAATATTTTGTCATGAATAAGACCTTTAAACTTTTTAAAAAAAATCTATCAATTTTAATACATTTTCTAAAATGAATATGTCCATTTCATTTATATTGTCAAATACATCGCTATAAAATTGCTCATGGTATCTTATTATACTTTAATGTCTGTGATCTCTTATTGAGGTCCCCAATTTTGTTTGTAACTTCAATAATCTCTTTTTATTTTTCTTGAATAATCTTGCTAGGATTAATTATATTAATCTTCACAAAAATCAACTTTGAAAATTTTTGGTTCTGTTTTTCCTTTGTCCATTTTTCTATTTTATTAATTTCAATTTTTTATTATTTCCTCTTTCTACAATCCCTAAGTATAATTTTGATCTTATTTTATATAGTGTCTCAAAATGGAAACGTATTTCATTGATTTCATTTCTTTTTTCTTCTTCACTATAAGCATTTAAAGTGATAAAACTGCACAAATTTTGATGCTTTTAATTATCTTTAATTAAAAATATTTTAAATACGCCCTATGTTTTCACCTTTGGCCAACACTTAGAAGTAGGTTCTTCCATTTTAAAATATTTAGACTTTAAGAGCTTACTTTAGTTGTAAAAATGCTTTTGGTTCATAAAGTATCCTTTTATAATTTCGTCCTTGGAAATGTTCTGAGGAACGGTTTACAATGCAGCGTGCATTCAATCGCAGTAGTTTTTCCATGTGCCCTTCTGAAGTATGTCATCTTCGTTTGCTGCATATTCTATAACTAAGTTGATGGATAATTTTATTCAAATATTTTATAGTATTTGTAGTATGGGTCTATTTGTCCACTAAGTGAAGAATATTAATATTGCTGACTGTGGTAATGAATTTTTCTATTTATCTCTCTCTTTAGTTCTGTCAAATTTTACTTTATGTGTTTGGAAGATTTGCTGGACACATTTAGATTCAACATCGCTAGGACTTTTGGTAAACTGAGTCTGAATATTTTGAAATCTCCTTTGTCTCTGAAAATACTTTTTATCTTGAAGTCTTCCTTATGTAATATAAGTACAGTTGGATAAGTTTTCTAATGTACAGCTGGTTTGTTCTATTCATGGTATTTTTTACCCTTTACTTTATTATTTCTATAATATTTATAAAATGTGTTTGTTTAAAACAGGAAATATTTTGATTTTGCTATTTTGTTGTTTTGTTTTTGTAACTCTGACAAACACTGATTTTTAATTGTAATGATTATTCCCTTTATATTTAAGATAATGGCTTAGATGACTTGGTTTAAACCTTCAATGTAAGGGTTTTTTTCCTGTTGGTCTAACCTGTTTCACTCTTTCTTCTGACCTTTCTTTCCCTCTTATGTATGGAATACTTACAAAATGCATAATTTTAAATCAGTAGATGATTTTTTTCCTTTGTGTCTTTAAAGATGACCTTCTATTGTTCTCTTTCATCTATTAGATTAAATGAACTCAGCTATATATGTTATACAGTTTTTTTTTCCTTAGTAGTTTCAATATTTTCTTTTTTCCTTTGAGTTTTCAGAATTTTACCAAAATAATGTTTAAGCATTATTTTGTGCTTAGGGTTTGTTGAACTTGGTGTTTGGTTTGATAAGTCTCATCAACACCTATCAAAATCCTCACCTGCTATTTTCTTTTGCCTTGTTCTCTCTCTTTTCTTATTTATTTTCTTCAACTATATATATATATATATATATGTATACATACATACATATGTATGTATATATATAGTTTTATATATATGTAAAAGCATATAAAATTGTTTCATGGCTCTCAAACACTTTTTATCTTTGCTATATAGTTATCATTTTTATGTTTTAGTTGAGATAATTTCTTTTTGACCTATTTTCAGGTTGGTTGATTACTTTCCTTGTTATTTCTTGTATACTATTAAGCTTATCAAGTGAATTCCCCTTTTATGATGTCATAGTTTTGATTCCTGGCATTTCTGTTTATTTTCTTTAAATAATTTTGTCTCTGAGAAAGTTCTATTTTTGCTCAGATATGTCCACCTTCTTTATAACGTTCTAGCATAGTAATCTTTCTGGATCCTTTTCTATAGGGGATTTCTTTTTTGACTATGGGTCACATTTGCTCATATTTTTTGATTATATGAGAGGCCTTATGTATAAAAGAAGTATAAGGAATGTAGAAAATAATATTTACCTTGGAGAAGTACAGCCTCTAATTTGGGGGCTGAGTAACCCCCATTTGTAATAGAAGTAGGTCTGGTCTAATTTAAGCCAAAGCTTTTAGAGGTTTCATTAGTTTTAACACATCATGATCTCCAAATACTTTAAGGTCATGTTTGGGATTTTCCGTGAAACTGAGCTTGAGACCGGAGTACAGGCAAAGCTTTGGAGAGCTATTTATCCTTTACAGTTCAGAAAAAAGAGCTCCCTGAACTCTCTTGTGGTGTAAGTCCGAAAATTAACATACAACATGTACTTTTTTGACAGGCCAAACCGGAAGGCAAGAGATGGACTAACCACAAGTTGCCTCCCCGCTCTGCTCTTGAGGATAAGCTTGCAGTTAACCGCCCCTCTTATCAAGGACCAGGCACAGTTCCTGTTTATCCCTGAGTGGTGGGTTTCAGCTCCCTGCCAGCCCATAGCATTATTCAAACAAGCCAGTCTCACCCTCCCATGAGGGCCAGGGCGCCACACACTGTTGATTTTACAAAGCCTGCATCCTACACTCCTATGGTGCACTCTGCTCCAGTGTACAATCCCTGTGTGGCCTTGCATGGTGTGCCTGTTCTCCTTCCCAGGGCGGTGAGTATTTGTATGAAATGCTTTCTGTGTAATGCATCCAGTGTTGGGTGCTATGTTTTCAACTATCCTCAGAACTCTAGGGTGGGACTCTTCCCTTACTAAAGTGAAGAGGGGTGATTAAAATACTGTGAGGGAAGTTCTTCTACTTTGCATCCAGAAATCAGTCACTATTCATTTCTTTGCTCTTTCCACACCCTGATAAATTTCCACACCCTGATAAATATCACTCCATCCTCTTGCCTTATCTCCAGCCTTTGTAAAACTTTCATCCAAAGAGCTCCCTTTGAGGTATGCCTCAAAGCTATTTCAATTTTCTTGCTCTTTTACCAGCCTTTGGAAGGCTATGCAGTGCATTATGTGGTGCTTCTTTTATTTGTTTGGTTTTGGTTTTTTGAGACAGGACCTTACTATATAGTCCAGCTGCTACGAACAGGCTGTGCAGCCTAGAATGGCCTGGAACTTTCAATTTTCCTGACTCAGCCTCTGAGCTCTGGGATTACAGATATGCACTACCACGATGGGCTTGTGGTATCTTCTTGCTGATGAAATTTCTGGCTCCTCTGTTGGTCTTCTCTGACAATACAGTATAAGGGGACAAGGGTTGTGACACCAAGTAATCTTGCAAAGTGGAAGTCTAACTTCCATTTGGCAGGGTTGGGTTTTTTTTCTTCTTCTGATATTTAGTTGAAGTAAAACCCTTTCTATTTTTTTTAAATTCTATTTTCTCAAAATGTTTTAAAAAATTACCTGCTTTTTCAGGCTAAGAAATTTCTAGTTCTTTGCCTAGAAAGAGCAATGTTTTTTGGAGGAATTTATTGTTTGTGCCTGTTTGTGTTTCTAGTTTGCAAATTTCCTGGTACACCCATCCTGGAGCTGTGAGGTAAAATGAAGGCCAAGGAGACTCAGTGCTGTGCTGTTCCTCCTCAGGCTACTCTGACTTCTTTTCTCCACTTTTCAGAGTGCTATTATGTTTGTTTTATATATAACATCCAGGACTTTTAGATGTAGTTAGCAGTAGGAATAGGAGAAATGTGTCAATTCTGCATTTACAGAAATAGAAGTCTCTAATGATAATCACCTCATGACCAGCCATAAATTTCCATTAAGGAAATGAAAGCATTATTATTTCCAAAATGGTCAAAAGAAATGAGTCTTAAACACTTTTTAAATTTACTCTTTCAAGTGCTGTCTTACTTGAGTGAAAAATATAAAATAAGCAACAGATTAATTTTGCAAAGTATCAATATGGACATTTCCTTGTGAGGGACATTTACTCATCTTTATCTGTGTGTTCTTTATGTTCTTAATTATTAGACTTAAAATTAATGTTAGGCCAAAAGATGTGTTTATCCCTGAGAAACAAATATGCTTCTGTCACTTAAATTTAAGAATTATGTAAGCCAGGTGCTGGTGGCTCACGCCTGTAATCTTCCAGGAGGCAGAGATTAGGAGGATTGAGGTTCAAAGCAGCCCCAGGCAAATAGTTTGGGTGACCCTATCTCAAAAAAAACCCATCACAAAAAATGGTTGGAAGAGTGGCTCAAATGGTAGACTGCCTGCATAGCAGGTGTGAGGCCCTGAGTTCAAACTGCTGTATCACAAAAAAAAAAAAACAACAAAAAAAGGAATTGTGTAATTCATTATACTTCCATATTCCCTTTCCTGCCGATCCACTAAAACTTAAATTTTGTTCTTAATCTCATTTCATGTCTTATACTTTTCTAGTGTCACTGTTGTTTTATCATCCTTTATAACACAGCTCTTAGTCTTTGCTTTATGATTCTACTGTGGCCGTGAAGGCTCCAAAATAAACTTTCTCAGTTTTATTTCTAAAATGGATTATATAGAAACCATGCCTTTCTGGATTTTACTTACGAAGGATTTACAGGAGCAAATTTGATTGAAAGGGTATGCCAGGAGACTTGAAATTGTGTTCCTAGAACGAGTATGTTATATTTATTTTTATTGCTTCTCTTTTGTTTTGTGAAGCTATGAGGAGATGAAGTAGATTCCTACCAGTCCCTGGTAGGTGGTGTTATTGTATGCAGAAATGCATCCATAGCTTCATCTATGCATTCACTGATTCCACAAACTTCTATCAGTTATCTATGAAACGTTCTGGAGGCTGGGCATGTAATGTTCTGCTTTCCTGAAGATTCTGTTCTAACAAATGAAAGATGCTTATTATTTGTGTTCTCAAGGATATGGCAACATCAGTCCTGACAATTTTTTGCCAAAATTGAACGAGCACCCAGCTAAAGACATAAAAACAATTTCATTAGACTAAAAGAAAACTTACAAAAATACAAAAGTTCCCCTCTAATTCCATAGACACAAATTGATATAAATCATCAAAAATAACAGAGGATGAATTTAAGACAATCTGAAAACTATTTTCTCTAATTTTTTTCTAAAGTTAAATGCTTATTATATCTCTTGGGGGTTACTATCAAATAGTAGAATAAAAACTAGCCCCAGGTAAGTGTTTTATTAGTTCCTAGTACATTATCCTAGGAAATTTTTGACTTCTTAAACTTGGATTTCCTGTGGGTAAACTGGAAATAGAATAAGCACATAGTATGATTGCTAGAATTAAATAATATGCCAAATTTAACCTATCTAGCACATTCTTTCATTAAAACCATGCAGAAATTTGTTTTTCAACTTCTGCCAGCCCTTTTGCTGCATATGTGTAACTCCCTTTGTCTAATGTAAATTTAACAGGTTTTTAATATTTTCAACCAACATAAAATTTTTTTTAAAGCTTCAAACTCTGGTGTCTGCAATTATTTTTTAATAGATCCAACTTATAAAGAAAAGCTATAATAAAATTTTACTTTAAATATTTTAACCTATTTTATGAAAATAAAAATCTCTCATGTAGAAAATAAGATAGCTACCGAGAAGTCTTATTTTTCTAGTGGAAATTGTTGAATATCCACAGCATTTTACACATAATAATAACTCTTGAAGACATAAAAAAGGGTTTGAATCTACAATGCACACTGAAATCTTCAATTTAAGATTTTCTTTTAACTCACATTTGTATTTTGTTTCAATTTAATGAGCATTTTTAACTTTTTTATTATGGCTAAAAGATTAAGGTATATGGATTATAAAAGATAAAAGAAAAATACAGCAAATTGATTATCTCATCACCTATATAACCCATTTTGCATTGTATATTTAATTGTATGTTACTGATACAATGACAAATGATGTAAAAGTTTCCTGATAATACGTAAGCCTCAAGATTTATTTCTTATAAAATATTCAAAGGAATTAATATGATAAAACATAATATAAATAACCTTCTATGAGGACATAGCAGAATAACGGGGTCCGGGTGTACACAGATGATAGTAAGTTTAATTCAACAATTGCATTTAGAACATATAAAAGAATGAACTATTCTTGAGACAGTCACACTAGGAATATTACTTTTCTTAATTATAATCTGATGACTACTAATAACAGAAAGCAGAATTTGAGGTAAGGCCTTTGACAGTTTCTGTATTACAAATACAAATCCGGAAAAATATTACAGATATTTTATGTGTCCAATTAGTGGTTGATCCATACACCTAAAACCATCAAATGAGCTGGAGATTCTCTGGGGGAATTACAGCACAAAATGACTTACTAGATCAATATGAAATACAGAACCTTTAACCTTTGAACCACAAGGTCACTTGTAAGCGTGGATGAGGGCAAGCAAAGGGCATTATTGGGCAATACCTTTCAAGAGGTGAAGTGAATTTCCATCCAGTTTTACTACCATTTGTTAGCTATTTGTTGTCTGTTATAGATCCAATCAGTGACCTTGTACCACTAAAGATCACTTACTATAACCAGGATCAAGGAGCCCTTTTAAAACTTAGAAGCAAGAAGGAAAGAAAAGGGAAGAAGAAAGCAGAAAGAGAGAAAGGAAGGAAGGAAGGAAGGAAGGGGGAAGGAGGGAAAGAAGGGAGAAAAAAGGAAGGCGAGAAAAACTAGAGTATCATTATTCTGGTGTTTTTAAATATTCAAGATATTCTGTTCATCTACTTGTACTAAATCTAAGGAACTAGACTTAAAATCCTACCTTGAATAGAAATATTTTACTTGGAGTTTTCTGAATGACTATTCTGCTGTGGCCCAAAGTTAGTTGTTTCTGTTTTTTTCTAGGTAAAGAAACTACACTGTCTCTTTCTTAATACTGAACACCATACCCATATTGCAAAAATTATGCTGTTTTGTGGCTCTTTTAGTAACTACTTGCTGTCAGGATTGGATGCACTAGATTTTCTGCTGTTTTACTAATGCCAGGATTGTGAATTGTTCTGCTTTGTACTACACATGAAAGCAGAGCTACTGATTCTTGTGTCTTTTAGTTTAAAATAACTGCACCATATACTCTTTAGTAGGTTTACAATATGCTTGTAGGAATAAATGGCAAATATTGGGGGAGGAAAAGTGTAGTAAGACCAATTAGTAAGTAGGGGAAAATTAGACATTGTTTCATAATCCTGGAATCCTACGTTTAGAATTAGGGAAAAGAGCAGGTTTCTATAAAAATACATAACCAAACAGGCAGCAGGGACAGTTTTCCAGTTCTTAAAGATAATACTCCATGACAAACATTTAGTAAGAGCCAATACTTAGCATATAAACTGAAAGAAAGATTAATTACATATGGACTTCACCTTAAATAACACCTAATATACCACACCCAAAATGACATCCAAGAATATTCTTGATTTCTTTTAGAATCCCAGTACCTAAGAGAGAGTGCCTTTCACAGACTGTGGGATCAGGTAATCCCTTAATGGATGAACACGGGAATGCATGTAGAACTGTAACAAGTTAACACATTTGTCCAAAGTGTCTGGTATAGGGAGTTTTGCATATAAAAGGGGTAAACCGAAGGCTACGAATCAGAGATTTTTCTGCAGGAATGCAAGCATAACCCCTCTGAAGCATCTCCACAGGAGAAACAGCCCTAGAAAACTCTGATCAACTCAGCTGTCTGTGACTTACAACTAATATGTTTTGCAGTACAGCAAAAGTATAAAAGCATTATATGTGATCCCATTTTAATGTGTTTTCATGTGACTTCATTATTTCTTTATTTATTCCTCAGTGGTAAAATAATAACTACACCCAACCACTGGAAGATTGGTGTTGAAAACAGAGAAAGTGATATTCAAAATATTTATTCTATTGATTGGCATCATGGGTTCTGAGAGCCAAATTTAAAGTGAGTTTCTCATATGCCTTTTTGAAGGCTGGGTGTGGCACAAGTGGTAGAGCATCTACCTAGCAAACATGAGGTCCTGAGTTCAAGCCCCAGTACTGCTAAAAAAAAAAATTATGAAATCTTATATACCTTTACAACTTAATTATTTGTGCTATCTTTTTGTTATTACCTGTAATCATTAAAGTTAACTTCAAAGAATAATACAGGTGAAGTGTGTTTATAAAAAAGTGACATATGTATAGATATTTGATAATTCATCTTGTGATGTATGAAAGGACAGCAACATGACAAATACGTTTTTGCTTATATATGTGCACATGGTTTTGCATATGAAACAATGTAATTTTTTTCAGGTATGGCACAGTGGAAAATAAGTATCACAATTTTTTCTCAATTTCCTTAGGTGATAAAACAATATTAAACTCCTTCATTCAGCATATTCAAACACAATTCCATACTACCCATTGTGAAAGGGAAGTTTCTCTTCAAACCCAGTAAAACATGAAACACAAGCATAACTAGGAAAAGGAAAGTTACTTCATGGTTTTCTCATGGTTTTTCCTGATACTAATTGTCTGTGTTTTCCCATTTACCTTTAGCTTGGTCAGAGGCCCTTCATCACATCCACAGATCCATCCTGGGCCAGGTCACAGACCACTAAAGAACTACAGAAACAGGAAATCAAACTTCCTGAATTCACTCCAAAACAGAGAAACCTGTTTCCTCTACACATCTCAAACTGGCAAAGTTCTGTCTATGCACATTCAGTATAGAAGCAGTTGTCAAAAAGGATAGAAGGATTTTGCCTTTCAATTTCACATGAACTTTTTGCTTGAAGCTACTAAGATGAAGGGAGCGAAGTTATTTGTCCTGCTTTCTAGTTTATTGAGTGGTGGCTTTGGACTTGACAACACCAAGTATCCTTGGACTACACCTGAGGATGAAAATTCCCAGAAGAATATGACCTCTGCTTCTGCTTCAGTTCTGCTAAACAACATACAAAATCTGCAAATACTGTCAACCACTCGGATCACTTCATTTGAGGTAGCTACAACTCCAGAGGTGAGCTCTTCCGAAGAAAGTCTTCAGTCAACACTGCCTCCTTCAAAGACAAGGGCCTCTTCTGAAAGTTTGAGAAACCCAGTACTCACATCCACAGAGAAGACAGAAGAAAGAGTGGTAAAGTTAGAAAATATTGCCTTCCCTACTAAATCTAGTATCAAGTTCAGCCCTGGAGCAGAGACAGTCGTTCTTTCCAATGCTACACTGAAATTTCTTCAGAGCTTTGCTAGAACGTCAAATCAACAAGCAGTCTCTCTACAATCAGTTGGAAGTGTGGGAAATCGATCCCCGCGAGAAACCTACCTCAGCCAAGGAAATGGCAGTGGAAGTCAAAGACCTGGCTACCAAAAATCAAGTTTTGAAACAACTAGAGGAAAGTAGGAAACATTCTTTTCTTATTTTTTTTCTCTCTGACTATGAGATCTGTAAGATTGTAAGCTCAGTTACTAACTCACCCCAGAAATTAATGAAGGTTTAAGATCAGATCAGGTCATAGATGCAATTTCACCATTACAATTGTTACCTTATCTGATAAGGTAACAAAATGCAGCAATTTCATTTGAACTAAAGTAGTCAAATCATTTTTCTATTCACTTATTTGTATCTTGTTACTAGGAAATTATCATTAACAAACAATGTAGCATCACAGTGTCTGTGAGTTTATTTAATTCAACTCAACAGAATGTTGATTGTGCTCAGAACACCTGTCATGAGAAAGAAAAAATTTAATAAAATTGGGACCATAAACAGATTTGAAAGTTGGAATAGGGTATACTGGAAAGTGCATAGTTACCAGAGATCAGACCAAATCCACTGACTTATGAGTACAACAACTGGATGTGATTGGGTTTGGATTGCAGTCCTGACTGCAAGACTGACTAGATGCATGACTCTGAGAGAGTCAATTGATCTCCATTAGTCTGAGTTTGTTCACATGTAAAATAGAAATATCATACAAGGAAAACAGACAAAAATACAGGGTTATCGTGCAAATTCAAATTTATGAATGGTACTTAGTTGTACAGAAGAGGTATTCAACAAGTTGTATTTTACTAGTACTGTGATTATATTAAATTGAGTTTCTCATCATAAATGTAATAAATCAGAAAGCTTATTTTTCAAATTTACTTTGATTTAAAGTTATAGCAATTCGAATTGTTAAAGTAAAACAATCAAACCAAGCTTAAAGGGATGTTGTTAGAGAAGGTTTTCAAATGGACTAAAAACCAAACACAACTAAGAAAGAACATACTTGAACAGGTCAATATTTTATTCAGTCATCTGTGTGTTTAGAGTACTAGAAGTTTATAATGTTACAAAGTTAAGCTTATAAATTCTTTTACCTATATTTAAACAATTTCAATACACCTTTTAAATGTGCCTTTAGAGCTAAATTGAGTTGAACATTTTACTAGTAATATAATAAAATTCTTCTTAAAAATAGTAATTGACACCTGACATATGAAAGACAGTTTGTCCAAGTTATTATTGATATAAACAGTTTGTGTCTTCAGGGACAAAACACAGGGAAGACTATAAGCTAGTGAATTTGTTTGTATGAATTTGTTATAGTTCAAGTCAACTTTTTCAGTACACTTCAAAAGCTATAGAATTTTTTAAAATACATAAATAAATGTGACTTTAATACTCACTTAGAATTTGGAATTACCCAAATTAAGTATAAAACAAAAACTACAGATGACAAAATGTTTAACTTGGGATGAGTAGATTTTGTCTGTAATAGGCAGGTAACTGACATGTATTGGTCTTTCTCACTTTGTCTAGTAAATAACAATGAAAAATGTCATTTATTGAGATCCTTTCTTAAGTTGCTTTCACATATCATTTCAATTATGTTTTGTTAGTGTCATAATTCAGTTTTCTTTAATTGCAATTGAACTATTGGACACTGATAAGGATTAATATGAGTTTGTCAGGAGACTTTTGCAGAATAGGAAATACAATGAAAAGAACAAAAGGGTAATTCAAATTAAAATACCACTTAAATTTTATATAGCATAAAAGATGTAGAAGATTGCTGTATCATAAATAAAACTAGTAATCAATAACTTGATAAATGCTAAGTTTTAAAGAAATGCTATTTATTTTATCTAATGCTCTCTCATTCAAAGCTTGGGAATACTTATTTATTTGATGATTTTATAATTTGTTTATCATGTGGCTAGCACTATGCTTGGCTCCATGAATACATAGAATTTAAATAATAATAATAATATCTGCCTAAAGGAATATTTATTATAAAAAATAAATACTGACATGTCTATTGAACTGCCAAAAATTCAATATGGTTTATGAGAAAAATATATATTAAGTGTAAATAGCCAAACAGAATTTCATTCTGTGGATTTTCCAATGAAATAATCTTAAATTCTTTCTACTGAAAAGCACCAACTGCACTTAAGAGATTCTACAGTTTGTGATCCTGGAGAGCTCTAAGTTTTTGTTCAGTAATCCTTTCAATTAAGTCAAAGATTTCCTACTCATTAGGACACGCAAATGAAACAGTATTAGAGAAATCTAAGTTGTTCTCTATGGACACAGTGCTGATGTGAAGAGCCATTTACAAGGTCAAAAGAAGTCTCACATTCTCATTTGATTAGCTAATAATAATAGTAGCAAACATTTATATAGCATCTTTTCCTAGAACTGTACAGCTCTGAGTAAAATATGTATACAATTTAATTTATTTAATCATTACCATAACTCTGTAAGGAAGAGAAAGATTTTTCCATGATTCCTTTGTAGAGAGGTTAAGTAACTTACCTAAGATCACTGAGCTAGCGAATCTCAGGGCAAAAATTCCAACCTAAGCTGCTGGCTAAAGTTTTAGCCCTCAGCTCCAGCAGGGTACTCCCTCCACAGGTACAGGTATTTCCCTAAGTGGGAAAATAAGAGAGAGTCTTTGGAGCCCATTAGTCTTCCCAGAATACAGTCTAGGGTCCTCACCCAGTACCTGCTGCCATCCTTGACCTGGCCTCTGCCTACTTTTCCAGACTCATCTTTGCTACTTCTTGCCTATGCAAATTTGTAGTTCTCTGGGCCACAATGTGTATTTGATAAGACTACCTTTCTTCCTGTTTGTCTCTTTTGGCAAGGACTTTTTCCATCAGGTAGGAATAATAATACCTCTAGGAACTTTCTTGGGCTAAGTGACTCTTGTTAACTATTCCAGTGGCTCTCTGGTTTCTACACTACACTTATAATAATATATAATACTTATAACAAACTTGTGTGATATTTTGTATTATAGGGATTTATTTTCAGTGATAGCAAAATTTCTGGCTTCTGTGAGTAAGCAGTAAGTATTTAATCAAACTGAATGTGAAATACAAGGGTCAACATGTGAATATAAAGAAGAATCTTTCCCAAAGAAATATTTCTCAATGAAAATAAAAACTGGCTGACTTGGGATTAAACTCATCTTACTTTTTTCCACCTATCATTTTAAGAAATTTATAATAATTCTTAAAAAAAGAAGTACGTCTATTAAAGTTTTTTTTCCTACAAGATAATTCTGGTATAGTTTTGTCTCATTTGTATTTTCTGCTATTTTAGCACTGCAAAAAACCCTACTTACAACAGAACTGTGGCTTCCTGTGTGGCAGAGGGGGTGTTTATAAATGATCAAGCACTTTGAAATAAGGAGAAATTAGACTTGGGTATTTATGTGTCAAACTGTCCTCAGCACTGTGGATGTGCCAGGAGTAAAAAGGTGAACAAAAGCTGCTTTATGTCCTGCCTGCATGAAATCCAGCACTCAGCAGGAAAGGAGCAAGGAGGAAAAACAACAAATCACAAATGCTAATGTTGAATGAAACAGTGATAAACATCTGGAGGGAAGTTTGTGAGCGTGTATAATGGGGTGATTGGTCTACCCACTGTGAATGGGGTCATTAAGTATAGCCTTGTCTGAGAGGATGATAGTGGAATAAGGTATTGATACAATCCAACTCCCTACTTTCCTTCTACCACACTCTTAAACCCTTGCATCTTAATTTTTATCATCTGAGTAAATGACTAGTTCCTTTATATTTTTCTGTGTCTCCTAGTTTTACCTAATTTACTAAATATTTTTGGTTCTCTAATTTATTCCAAATCTGGCAACTTCTCTCCTCCTTTGATATCACCATCCTATTCCTAGTGACCTTTTCTACTACTAACCTCCTAACTAGTCCATATCCTGCTGCTCCTGCCTTCCAAGCTTCATGCAAGTGAGAGACTTTTCAACATTTCACTGAACATGTTATTGTATTATTGTAAGTGACATACTATTTTAGGAGTTAAAATTAAAATGATTACATCATAGTTTCTTACTTAGAATTTTTGGGTTTATATTTTATACTTGAAGTTTTTTTTTATCATACATTGCTGTTTTGCAAACTTAAATGAAAACAGAAATAAAACTGATCAAAGAATTTCTAAGGCAATGGCAATAACTACTATCTGAACAATAGTGACCAAAAAATACCATTGGTTTCAAATACATACTGGATTCACAAAGATGTGTGACTTATATCTGTGAAACTTGGTATCACACTCCAAGCTCTCTACTTTCTTTCTTCCAGGGACACTGGCCTTCTATTTATTTGACATGACAAGTTCATATTCATCTCTAGAAAACATCTGTTTTCTTTTGCTGTAATCTACTTCCTTCAGCATTTAGAATAAGGGACACCTTTTCCTCTTACAACTTAAGCTTTAATGTCACCTTCTTGAAGACCTCTGATATAAAGCTTTTGTCTTCTTGCTCACCATTTCTATCTTATCATCCATATATTTTCTTTTTAAGTAGACAGTTGTGTATTTTATGCTTTTCCACAATAGAAAATATATCCTACGATAACAGGGACTTTGTCTGTTTTACAGATCATTCTATTCACTGCCTAGAACCGTGACAGGCACATAGAGCTAAAGAAGGACAGGTTATTGGATGGCTGGGGAGCTTGGAGAGCAGATCAAGACTAGAGGTGGAAATTGGGAAAGTAGTAGTGTATAGAAATCTTTTGTCATGAATGCGGGTAATACTGAAAGAAAGAGGAGTCCAGGGTCAGGACTGGAGAATTCCTAGCATTCAACGCTCTAATTGTGATGGATACTTGCAATAGAGCCATAGGAAGGAAACTGGAAATGTGTGATGTCCTAGAGCAAGAGAAAAAAATATTTCAGGAAGGAAGTGACAATCAGCAGTGTGGAATATTTCTGAAAAAGACAGTAAAATAAGGACTGAAAAATATCCCCTTCTTTAGCGACATGAACATAAGTAGTGATGTGAACATGTGCCCTGGCCTGAGTGATTTGGGGTACAAAGAAAAGTGGAAAAAAGAGACAGCAGTTATGGACAACTCTGTTGAGGAGG